AACTCGAATTTTGGTGTGATAAACTCGAATTTTGATGTGATAAACTCGAATATTTAAAACCGGTTCCAACCTCTAGGATAACTAGCAAATTTTTATAAAACCTATATAGCCTCGGGACCATTTTCCAGCAAAGACCCCACTTATTTAAATTAGCCAAATAATTTATTATTATTATTATTATTAGCCAAAGACAAGATACAGTATATCTCTTGGTAAATAGTTTTTATTGGTAATATCTACTATTCTATTATAGATGCTTTTAAAAACCACTCTACAGATAATAAACACAAGATATGTCTTTTTACAGAGGTTCATATCTGTTAAATATAAAATTTCTAATAAATAAAAAAATTCAAGTAGACAGATAAAAAAAATTTTAAAACCAATTACTAAATTTTGTTTGGCCTAATATACTGCATATGGTAAACAGGTTTGTACCAAAATTAAAAAGTTATTAGATTAAAAAATTTAATAAAATCTATGTGTCAAGTTATATCGGGTTTTAAAAATTTATTTGTTGTAAATAAAAATTAATCCGAAATTTATTAGTTATATTGAATTTATATTTTAAAATCAAAAAATTTTGAATCCTGTTTATATCAACCTGATTTTTAATACGGAAAGTAACCAGTACGACACTATATCTGTCTTTTTGTATACTAATATAGATTTATATAGAAATATTAATATCATAAAATATCTCGAATATATGTTATTGACAACATGGCCGAGTGGTTAAGGCGTCAGACTCGAAATCTGATGGGCTATGCCCGCGCAGGTTCAAATCCTGCTGTTGTCGAAATTTCGCGTGTAAATACCGTTTTTTTTTCAAATAAAAAAAAAACGGATTCTTGGGACATTTTATTATACTATGAAGTTTAATTTTAATGTCAAAATAATTAGAAAGTTATTTAAATATCAAACAATGGAATTTAATTAAAATCAAAAATTGAATGATTCCTGAACGGAAACTCGTTTGGCTAATAATGGATAGTGATCACCCTTTTACTGATACATAGATTACTATGTATATCAATCAACCGTATAAATTAAACTGGATCAAAAGCAAAAGCCATCCATCTTTCTTTATCGCGTATAGAAGAAATGGATATAGAAGAGTTTCGTAAAAGAGGTTATGAGACAGTTGACCGAATTTGCAAGTATTACAAAGAACTTGACAATTACAATGGTTTGTTGATTCCAAGGTTGAATTTGTCCATTAATAAAATTTCTGCTAAAGTTTCCTTTTAATTGATATATAAGTTTTGCCAAATGTGGAGCCTGGATATCTCAAGAAGCTTCTTCCGGAAGAGGCACCTGAAGGTATAGTTATTCTTGGCTAGCTATATGAATATCACCAATTTATTTATTCTTTATCAATATTAATATTATTTTATTTTATTTTTCAATTATATAAAGAACCTGAGTCATTTGACGCGATTCAGTCGGATTTAGAAACTAAAATAATTCCTGGTGGTAATATATTATATTTTTACTATTAATAATTAAATATACTTTCCCGGCATTTTTCTTTATTAAGCACATCTGCACTATCAGTTACACATTGGCAAAGTCCCAATTTCTTTGCACTTTATCCGGCAAATTCATCTTTTCCGGCAATTCTTGGTGATATGTATAGTGACATGTTCAATTGTATAGGACTCAATGTAAGCCTTCAAAATATTTTCATTTAATTAAATTTTTATGACATGTTTCACATATAAATTATATTTTATTTTTTTTATTTTTTTTTTATTTTTATTTTTTATTTAGTGGATATGTTCTCCAGCTTGTACAGAGTTGGAATCCATTGTACTTGATTGGGTTGGAAAGCTTATAGGTTTAGATAAGAGTTTTCTTAGCGATGGTTATGGTGGTGGTGTAATTCAAGGGGCTGCTAGTGATGCTACGTTGGTTGTTTTGCTTGCAGCTAGACAACGTATAATTGATAAATACAAAGCTGAAGGTTTAAACGAAGAACAATTATATGAAATATCTAATCGTCTGGTTGCATATGGGTCTACTCAGGTTAATTTTAATAATATATATATATATATATATATATATATAATTAATACTCCCTAAACCGAACTCTCGGATAAATTAAACTTTAAATTTTATTTAAAGTTCGGATTAAAATATTAAGTTCAATTGTAACCGAACTTTTTAAAGCAATTTTCTTAATAAGTCCCAAGGGTTCGGTTTAGTAAGATTGATTGTATTTGATTTCGTTCATTTCATACTCATTTTTAATATTCATATTTATATACGTTTTAAAATTAGACTCATTCATGCTTGAAAAAGGCCACAATGATAGCTAACGTACGTTTTCGTGCTCTTCCAACAGACGAGAAATTCTCTCTAAGAGGAGATACTTTTAAGCGTGAAATTGAAAAGGATATTTCTCAAGGTCTAATTCCATGTTTCCTTAATGGAACAATAGGCACAACAGGTTCTGCAGCAGTTGATCGTATTTCGGAGTTAGCTGACGCAAGTAGGTATTTATGAAAATTTTATAAATTAATTCATCATAAAAATACTGAATTAGTTATTATTTGTTTTTAAAAAAGTTCAAGGCACAGACGTGTGGCTTCATATTGATGCTGCTTATGCAGGTTCCGCCCTTGTTTGTCCTGAATATCGACATTATCTTGATGGTGTTGATCGAGCCGAGTCATTTAATTTTAACATGCACAAGTGGTTATTGACGAATTTTGATACCTCATGCCTATGGTAAAATATTTGTTATTTTGAGTATACTTTATTATGTAATAGATTATCACTTTCTAAATTCGCTTCGTAAATAGGGTTAAAAGGCGAAAATTCCTTATAAGTGCATTAACTATTACACCAGAGTTTTTAAAAAATCCTGCTAGCGAAAGTGGATTAGTCATAGACTATCGAGACTGGCAATTACCATGTAAGATAAAAGCTTTTCAAGTTATGGACCAATGTTAAATTTTGTTATCTTATTTTTAAAAATTTATTCTATACAGTGGGTAGGCGTTTTAGATCATTAAAGATATGGTTCGTTTTGAGAACTTATGGTGTGAAAGGTTTAAGGGAACATATTCGAAAGGTATATCCGCAATATATAATAATATGTTTAATGATTATAACAAGTGGTAATAATAATAATAATAATAATAATAATAATAATAATAATAATAATAATAATAATAATAATAATAATAAATATAATAATATTATTACTTTCAATTCAATAGTCGATAACTCTTGCAAAACATTTTCAAACCAACCTTTTATCAAAACATTCCGACCTTTTTGCTATCTCAGTGGAACAAGCTTTTTCACTTGTTTGTTTTCATGTCATTCCTAATGAAAAATCACGTAAAACGTCCAATGAACTCACAGAAAAAGTTTATAATCGTGTAAATGAATCACAAAAAATTTATTTAACACATACTAAATTAAATGATCAATTCGTTATAAGGTTTGCTGTAGGAAGTCCGTGGACCAACGAAGAACATATAGACAGGGCACTTGACCTTATAGTAAAGATCACGAAGGAAGTTATCGAAGCTGAGGATGGAAATAATTAATTAGAATTATAGTATTAATTTTAATGATACATTTTCGGTGTGGTATAGAAGATAATATCTAATTATTAATGTTTATTAATTGAATATAATTAAATTACCTTTTTAATTTTTATTAATTGAATTACCTCATCGTTTTATGTTAATTAATTGAATATACAGTAATTACCTAAATGTGTCATTTAATAAAAATAAATAGCATGAATGTAATAAACATAAATCTACTTTAATCTTGACAATAAAAGAACGCTGAATTTTTTACATAATATTTTTTTAGAGTGAATAGACAGAGTATTTTAATTATATTTAATTATATTTTTAATTGTTTATACATTTACACTAATATGTCTTACATGACAGTGAGCCTTCTATTAAAAAATAATCATTACATAACAAACTCTAATACCCTAATTGGTTACATGAAAATGTAACCAAAACATCTATCCTCACATAGTTAAATTAGCGGGAAATTAATCAAGATTATAAAGCTGCATTTGACACATTTGACACAGTTATATTTTGCTGATTTTGTTGCGATAATTGCGCTTTTACTTCATCTACTCGATCGATCAATCCTTGAGTAAATTTAACTGCTTCTCTCCGCTTTTGTCTAGCTGTCTCAAATTCTGGAGGACAAACAACTGAATCCAACGTAAGAATGGATTGCATTAATGTTTCAACAATGCAATGATGTTCTTCTGTAAGTTTTGACTTGACTGTATCATCGTTATCTTCAGATGATAAGTAAGTAGCCACGGAAGTTTCGAAAGATTCTATTTGTGGAACTAAATTTGCCTTTGTTTTTTCGACCGATTGTGTAATGCGCGCTATAAGTGCATGCTCTTCGGATGATCCAGATGTTGTCTGTGCCAAATCTTTGGCCTAAATTATATAATTATACATTAAATAAAAAAAAGTTTAATAAATATTATACTATTTATTTTTGAATCATTCGATGAAAACGAACATAAAGGATAATATAACTTTACATTTGGTTTTGATCCCATTAAAATCAATTTTGAAAATGGTTGTAATCCAAATGATGTTAAAGTCGCCGTTTCATCTTTCATTATGGCTAATATTTAAATGTTTAATTTTCAGTATGTTAAAATTTCTCTTTAATTTAAATTAGTTAAACCTTTTTTTAAAATAATTAAAAATTAAATTTTTACCTCCTGAAAAAACTAATTTTTGCCCATTTATTGGCACTCCGGTGATCTCCTTTAGTCGTTCTTTCAATTCTTTTAAAGTCGTCTCCTCGAGAGACCCCGTCCCTTGTTCAGTAAATTCAATGTGAAGTTTTTCCCGTCCCCAGTTAACTATTAGTTCTGGTGTCTTTTGAATTTCTATTAAGTTTTTTTTATTTTTTTTTAGAAAAAGTCAATTATACAACAAATCTTTGAAAAAGCAATTCACTCTAGTAATTACCTTCCATCGATTTCGACGAAACGGGTAAAATTGAAGAAAGGAGGGGCTTGGCGTAGCGCCAAAGAACGACAAATGGTAGAGCTATGTCGGCCGAAATATTGAATATTATTTTATAGGAGACTACTAAAGGAAATCAATTATAAGAGATCAAGTGTAAAGTAAATTTTGGTGATGCACTCTGAATCATTATAGATATTTTAAAACGGTACGTATTACAATTCCTTTAATCTAAATTTGTAAATAAGAATTTGATTATATATTTATAAATAATTATCACACACCACAAAAATTCTAATCTTTTATGTATATATAGTAAGATTTCAGGCTCAAAGTGTTGGTAATTACAATACAGTATTTTCGATCGAAAATAACTACTCATTGAGTGTTGTTAGAATGAAATTTCATTAAAAATGGATTATAGTTCCGATTTTTTGTCAAATAGAATTTTTTTAAATTTATAATACAGAAAATTTTTAATAAAAGTTGATTTTGATAAATATTTAAGCCTTTTTTTTTTTACAAATCAAAGCCACTGTCATTGTTTAGAGCATAGCGATAACGAACTTTCAAGTAATACCAAAAACTCCGTTTTTGATTTATTTTTAATATAAATATCAAACTGCGATTTTTCTAAAATTCTAGTCATAGCAAGAAACGGATTTACTAATTTCCCCCCCAAGTTCCCATTGGTCGAATGCAATTTTCATTTTCCGTTAGATAAATCGCCGATCGGTGGCTGAAAAATTAATGTAGTCATTGTTCTGCGCCGCAATTTATATCACTTCGGATATCAATAGCGATTATTTTCGTAATAATTACATTATTATTAAAATATCTTTTTTCACCATTTAATACTAATGTTTCTCTCTTTTGAATTTAGAAACTCTTTATGATCGATTAAACCACTTTGAAGTTCTTTTTTTTTGCCTTCGTCGAATTCATAATAAAGACAATAAAATTGCGCAACAATTTAAATTATTATTTTTACAAAATTTATCATATTTTAATATTTATTGTATCGTTAAAATTATTTGAAATAAACATTTCCATTAAATTATTTTATAATTTATATTTTCCTTCATTATGTCAATTTCGCTTAACATCGATGATATTTTTGACATCGACGAGGATGTCGATATGGACATAAGCGATAATGAACTCGATAATGAACTCGATAACACGCTTGACTGTATTCTGGATGCAACAGATGGCATCGGTCAAGCGTGGGAGACAGTTAATGACGATGAAGAAGCCTCAGAAACAAAAATATATCATCTTCCGGTAGATGAATATGAAGGATGGATCAAAAATCTCAAGCAAGCAGGGCTTAGCTATTATCGGCACGATCATCGAGTTAATTTGGGTGCAAAGAGGAAAAACGTATGGAATGAAAGGTGGTATTGTCATCGTTATGGGTCCTACGAGAGCACTGCTGGAAAAAAAGCTAACAAAAAGCCACGATTGGTGCAAAAGGAAACAAAAAAATGCGGATGCAAAAGCTATATCCACATTGTGCTTCCCGTTAATTCACCAACAGTGACTTTAAAATATTTTTATAAACATCGTAATCATTACTCGGGTAAACTGTCGGATTTATGTACGTTGCCTCTTTCTGAAAACATTCGACAGTTTATTCAACAGCGTGCTCTCGAAGGTCTAGACGTTTTTAGCATACAAAAACTTATGCGACATCGAGCAATTGAATTACAAGGCCAGGTTTTTATTATTTTTTTTATTATTTATTTTTTTTTTTATTTTTTTTGATTTTCTTTATAATCGTTTTTCTTTTTTTTATTTTATTATATTTTTTTTTAATATTAAACAATCGTTTTTTTTTAATTTATTATTTTTATTTGTTTCTTTTTTTATCATAATCGATTTTACTACGTTTTATCTATAAATATATTTTATGTTTTAGGCGCTCGATTGTCTTGAAAAATCCAAACAAAAAAAAAATGCTTCGAAGCTCCATCTTCGTTATTATAACGTTTTTTTTTTTTATTTTCTATTAGTTTTTAATTTTTTTTTATTTTTTCCGATTTTCTCTTTTGCATATTTTTAATAATCGTTTTTAGTTCATTATTTTTTATTATTATTTTTCTTTTTTTATTATTTGAGTGACGAGAAGGGAAAACCTGTAAATTATTTCACTCATTATCATCGCAGTGATATGCACTCCTAGTTATTATAGGGATTGATATCACCATAATGATAATGAGTGAAATAGTTTACAGGTTTTCCCTTCTCGTCACTCATTTCACAATTGTTATTGTCACATTTTTTTCGCTTTTGGACGCATGAAGCAGCAGTGCAACCCGACTAGAACCTGTGTAAATCCGCATATTTGTTATTAATTTTTTTTTATAATTCTAATTTATTTTTTTTCTCTAATTTATTTTTTTAATCGATCTTTTTTTAACTTATTACTTTTATTTTTTTTCTTTAATTTATTTATTTGTATCCATCATATCTCTCGAAACTCCTCTCATACAAACCATCCACATTTCGTACTTTGGCATCCACTATCATTCGAAATAATTGGCAAAATTATTAATTACATCATTTCTCATTTCTCTCCAATGGTTAATTGCGTCTACAATCTGTGCTTGAGCATCCGTGTCTGACCATCCTTCTGTTCTTAGTAGCCGCCAAAGATCCTCCCAAACAGTTTCCTTTAATAGGTCATTATTTGCGCCACGTTTATGGCAAAGCTTTCTACGCCAAGACCGCAAAATATGAAAATGGCACAAAAATACGAAGCTATCAGGAAAGCTATCTTGGGATGCTTTAATTTCCTCACCTGCATCGTCGACCATAAAAATATCTGGTCTCCATCCCTCATTTTCATGTTTTAAAAAGTCAAACCACTTTATTAATGTCACTGTTCGTTTAAATTCGCCTATTAAGAACGCGACTGGATATCCACTACCCACTATTGGATGTCTTATAACAAGGGTGAATAGATGATATCCATGGTGGTTTATTCCGTGAGTTCCATCTAAACAAACAACTCTTGCAAACTCCATTAATTTTTTCTGCTCCTTAGTTTGAAACATAAACATAAATCCAATGTTATCTGCTTCATTATTTTTCTTGAATGAGCAAACCCCGCCCTTATTGATTATCTTATTCATCCACATTTCCAAGGAACGAATCTCGTCTTGATCAAAATATGCCGATGCTTTCAATATATTATTATTATTATTATTATTATTATTATTATTATTATTATTATTATTATTATTATTATTTATTATTATTATTATT